TACCCCCGCCCCCCACTCCCCAAATGCCCACTTGTTTGTCGATACGTGGATTGGAATTGTTTTTTGTAAGTTTTTGACCCATTTTTGCCCAAGAAAAAAGCCCATTCTGTTGATTTGTTTATTGCCAGGAGGAAAATTCGTCGGCCATGAACACCGATCCTTGGTATTCTGCTTACCATCATTCTCACCCTCCCCTAGTTGAAAGGCTGGCTGCAATTGATGAACCTGATAAAAAGACAGAGTGACGATCCCTTCCTTGTTCACAGGCAACCCTCAAACTCCCCCAAATCCCTACCCCTACCCCCAAACTCACACCCAGATGCTATAGTCTACTGCTTAGGAGGTTGGGCAGTGGTTTTTTTGAACCATAAGCGATAACTGTTCTCTATGTGGTCATAGGTTGACAAACTGAACTTGTGTAAAATGTGACTACATTGTTAGTTCATATTCCTATATCCTCTCCCTATTAAATTAGTTGTCCTAAAAAAAGAGATAGTTATCCTATTTTGTTTTCTCAGATATTACCAAGGTTGATATTGAAAAAGTGAAAATAACTTGTTTGAATTTACTCAAAATAGAGAAGTACTCCTTATTTTAGATAGGGCCACTATATGGGTGCACCCATGCTGTGCACAGGTAAACACAGACGTCAATCGTCTATGCGACGTAGACGATTATTGTCTGTGTTTGCCTGTGTGCGAGGCATGGGTGTCCATGGTAGCACCCATGTGGTGGCACCCTAGCATTATTCTTTAGCTAACTTGTCTTTTTCCAACAAAATAAACAAATAGTTTTCGGAAAATATTTTAAAAAATATTTTAAAAAATATATTTTTTTGTCAAATGTTTTCACTTTTTTTTTTCTTCTAAAAAACATTCTATTCTCTGTTCTTGCCCCGTCCAGCCCTACGCCTCCTTCCCCACCCTCTTCCAATATTTGGAAGAATAAAAATGGCTGGGCGGTGTTGCTTAGTTGGCACTTAGCAGGCAAGGGATGCACACCTGAGTGGCCAAGTGTCATTTTTTTGTTATCCATCTGCGATTAAAATTCAATTTACATGTTTTGTGGGACCCTCCGAGATAAGGGCTGTCTTCTTTTTTTTTTGTTTTGTTTGGAAGAATAAAAATGGGATGATAAGTTTGATAACGTAGTGGTTTGGTAATTATGAGGAAGAAACAACGTAAAGACACTGCAAACCTCATGGACCCACCCCACCATTCGTTGCCCTCTTGCAGCGGTCAGCATAACCACCTTATGAGATACTCCCTTCTCTCTAAATATAAAAATGTAGTCTAATTTTAGAGTAAATTGGATAAATGAGTGGTTTTTTATATTTATTCTCTATTTAAAATTATTAAAGAAAGAGTGGTTTTGTAAAACAAAGTCATAGACGAAAAATAAGAAATGAACATGCGTGCACTTTATGGTTTAGAAAATATACACCAATATCCTCTCTTCTTTAGAAAATGATTTGAAGGGGTGTGTGTGCTACTTCTTGAAACCACGAAGACTTTAGAAATAAGTTTCGAAAATAGAGAGGTAATGGTGCCAATTTTCAAAACCACAGAGGTTACTGGAGCTATTTGGGCTAAATTAAAAATAATTTTAGACATACATTCCATATCACAGAGTAAAAGAAAAAATATAAATTAAAAAAAATTGTATGAGAGAAAAATACTTTGAGACACCTTTTATTTTGGAAGGAAGGTATAATTTTAAATACTACGGAGTATAAGATTTAAAGTTATATGTTTGTTCCTAAATTAAATTCACACATCTTTTTAACATTTTTCGTATTTAGAAATGGTACAAAAAAAAGGTAAAAGCACTTTTGTTTTTGAGATAGATTTACGGAATGGTATTTAGAAATGATAAGAAAATGTGAGCCAAAAAAAACTTTTTTCCTTTCTAATTTTCACTGCTAAAAATTGAATAAATTTTAATGTCGGACTAAAGTTGAGCAATTGATGACACTAGATTTAAAAAAAAATGTACCTAAAACATGAAGAATCAAACTTGATTTTGATCAATTTTCATGGAAATAAAAAAGGTGTTGAAAAGATTAAAAAAAGTTTGTGATTAAATTTTGCCGAGCATTTAACGGATAGAACAGATAATATCCACATGCGTCTTCCGTCTTCCTAAGATTTTTTCGTTTTCACTTTTTATAATTTCTAAAGAGCATTGAAAAGATGAAAGTTTACCAAAATATATTAACGAAAATGAGGTGTGTGAGGTGTAATAAATAAAGTTTGGATAATTGTAGTATTTTAAATGTTAAAAAAGGTAACGAGAAGATATATTATGAGCAAATAAAAAATGGAGAAGTATAAAATTGTTTTTTGTTGGATGTTTAAAGGATTAAATATATTTTTAGTCCGTGTAAAATAGATGACTTTTGTTTTTTATCCTCGTAAACTTTTTTTTTATTTAAGTCATCCATACATTAAAAAATGATTTTGAAATTGGTTCATAAATGTAATCAACACGTTTAATTAGTTGAGATAACACACTTATTTCATATTCAATATTCTAATCTTGCATTTCTAAATATCTCGTACACAATTATTACTACCTAAATTGTGTTTATATCTTCCATTTCCAAAGCTCTTGGAAACATGCGGAGTAACATAGTAAAATTTAAAATTTTGATGTAATTCAATGAAGAGAAATGCTTGGTCACAAACACAATGATCACAAACTTTACAAATTTATTATTTGTGAACTTTAATAAAAAAAATTAAGTAGTCTAAAATAATTTTAAAATAAAAATTTAAATCATAAATAATAAGTTTGTGAACCTAGCAATACTCTTCAATGAAAGATATAATTTGGGGCATAAAATCTAATAATCTATATGTGAGGTAATCATAAATGCAAAACTAGAATATTGAGAACAAAATAAATATGCTATGTGAACACCTTAGGGCACTGGAAATACCTATAAGCCCTAGGGCTTCAAACCTTCACTCTCTAACACGTCAGCTTTAATTTATCTCACAATTTCAGTGGAAATGGGTTTGAATTTGTGTTTGTATTTGTGTTGAATTTTAAAAAAAAAATAATTTAATTTATAGAGAAGAAAAGAGAAAAAAAGAGAAAAAAAGAGGGGGGAAAAAGAAAAGGAAGGCGCAAAATGCCTTCAAATTGCGTCAAACATATGACGCAGAAGTTTTAACACAGCTATAATGGGGGAGGGGGGCGGTGTTTAACATCCCCAGGCGTCAAATGCCTCATAACGCCCCTGGGCGTTAGAGGCATTGCCACTTCTCTTAGAAGGTTTTGTTACGTTTAAAGGTCATTTTCAAAATAAAAAATGTTACAATGATGATTTAAAAAATCAAGGACTAAAAACAAAAATTACCTATACTAAAGGGACTAAAAACATACTCCGTATTTAATTTTTTTTAACATCACACGAAAGAAAAAATGATTCTAGTCGAAATAAATACCAAATTTGGTTTATTTTATTTTGACAGACCAAAATAAAATCATTCATAATTTTGTACTAAAAATAAAATTCATAGTGCTACAATACATTATGCCTGAATATTATGAGATGTCAGTACAGAGCCAACATTTCTATTTAAAAGATATGAACTCTCATTTTGATAGAAGTTTATGTTTTGTTTTATTTAAATCATTTTTAAAACTTGTCTTCAAGAAAAAAGTCTTCCATTCAAAAATTATCGTTTACTTCTAATAATATGTTAAAATTTATTTTTTTAAGTTAATTTTTTATTGATAGACACATAAAAGTACAATTTACATATTTCAAAACAGCATCAACATTATATAAAACAAGATATGACGTGATTATTTAATTTTAGCGAACGGACAAAGAAAGCGTGCAAGCATACAAATGTTATTGAAAGTCTGAAATACTATCTGTGACAATAAATTCGAGACAAAAGGTAAAATTTACAATTGGACTTTCAATTTATTTTAAGGAAAAATAATTTTAAATAATCTTACATTTTCACGTTTTCAAAAAATAATAATACTTTTTATTGTTACGAAAAATAATCTCATCTTTCTACATATGGTGGAGTTTTGGGTCGCCATTAAAAATCTAACGGTTACTTAAGGAAACTTTTGAAAAGTGCATGTTTTTTACAAATAATTGAAAAGTGAGTTTATTTTAGATAAATTCACTTTTTTGTTTTTTAATTTTTAATTTTTAATTTTTAATTTATGTTTTTAAAAATATATAACTATACACTATTGTTAGAGATTTGTCACAATATTTTTAAAAAATATAACGATTTATAAATATTGTATTCTGTTTTGAGAGAAATATAACACAGAATAGTGGTTTATCGAAAAATAATTTAGAGTATCACTCGAGAAAGAAATTCCAATACAAAGAAGTTGTAGTGAGTAATAAAAATATTTAGTTCCATTTTGGAGAAAAACATTATTGTGTCATTTTCATAATTTTTGAATTGTTATTTTGCGTAAAAAATTATACTGAATTATAAAAAAATCACAAATTTTGTAGTACCATTTTATAAAAAATAATACGGGTAATAGATGATTGTCAATAAACATTTCGAAATATTGTTGATGAAAAAATTGCAATATAAAAAAATGTAATGAGTTATAAAATTAAAAATATCTTTTCAAAGAAGCAATTATTGGGTCATTTTCACAATAGTTGTAATGTTGCTTTGCAAAAAAAATATTATAGTAAATTATTAAAAAAATATTCAAAAGTTTTGTAGTGCCATTTTTTAAAAAAATAATAGCATATTATCAAAAACAACTTGAAGTGTCTAATAAAACTCACATATGAGGAAATGTAAAATTATTTGTGAGATTATTTTTGAAAGAAAAACGAAAAATTAATTATTTGAGATAATTCTTGTTTATTTTAAAAATAAAACAGAGCAAAATTTAATGGGGTACAGCGGTAGTTGTACTATTACAAGTGGACACAATAAAAGGAAAGAAAAATAAATAGGAAAAAAGAGATTCTCTTCTCAGCTCTCGCTCTTATCCCTGACAGTGTCCACCACCACCTCCGATTGTCTGAATCCAGCAGGTGAAAATTCTCCATGGTACAATACCGCCGGCGAAATCTCTCCTGTTCAAGCTCGCCGGGAAACCGCCATCTCCTTCAGGATATCGCCGGAGTATATTAAATTCCTCACCGTAGATCCGTCCGGCATTTATACCTGAATCGCCCGTTTAATACGGTCAACGAATCTAACATCCGCGTTGATTGCACGCGGAATCGCTCATGATTGAAGATGCATTCGCACGGAGTGTTGCGGGTGAGCGCGTGTTTTAGATGAAGATGTCGGTGTACGACGCGCCGTTCGTGAACAGTGAGCTCTCGAAGCCTACATCGATTTTCGGGCTGAAGCTATGGGTGGTGATCGGAGTCTTCGTCGGAGTTGTTATTGTTCTCATTCTGTTTCTCATCTCGCTCTGCATCACGGCGTCGCGCCGCCGCACATCCAAGGCTAAGCTCCTCTACAAGGCTGCCGGGGAGTTTACCCCTCCCATTTCAAAGGAAATTCAGGAGATCGTTCACAATGACGCCGCCCCTGATCACCGCCCCGTCGCTCAGGTAGGTTTTCCGTTAAGCTTAGTAATTTTTACTAGTTTTATTTTTCTTTTCTTTTTTTTCCATCCAAAGTTATTATTGAAATATGATTGGTAAATTTAGACATTACTCCGTATTTAACTATTTATTTATTGGTGTGGCGTCTTGAGTTAAGTTTGGCGACAGTTGAATGCTTTGATTCTTTTTTTCGTGTTGCGGAAATCTCATTTGCATTAAACTCTGAATTTCAATCGACAAGCTAGTTACTTTTGAGTGTTAATTTGTCGTTCTCGTTTGCAAGAGCTCATTCTTGTTTTAAACTCTGAATGTACTGTCTTAGAAAGTGTTTTTTTAGCATCTTATTGAGTGTTTATATCGCCTGTAAGTGATACTCATTTGGGGACATTTCTGTTGTTTTTATAACTATAAAATGTTATTTCAGGGATTGCCAGAAATTCAGATTGACATGGGAAAAATGGAGCACAGAATTGTGTTCTCAGACAAGGTACCGGGGGCATCAAGTGGGGAGAGTAAAGCCACGAGTGGAGATACGGGATCAGTTGGAGGGAGCGGATCATTGCCGGAAGTGTCCCATTTGGGGTGGGGAAGGTGGTATACCCTGAGGGAGCTTGAGGCCGCCACCAATGGATTATCCGATGAGAACGTTATTGGTGAAGGTGGGTATGGAATTGTCTATCAGGGTATTTTGTCTGACGGAACTAGAGTGGCTGTGAAAAATCTATTGAATAACAGGTATCCATCATCAGATTTCACTTGCATATAAATTTTTTATATTGTTTTTACTTTTAAGTTGAAAGTTCAAATCGGCAGAGATACTTATAATCTTTTGCTGGTTATTGTAGTCTAGCATGTTATATGTTTATATCCATTCATATATTAATGCAAGTTTCATTGATAGTGTGCATTAAAGTGTTTGCCGGAATGGTGTCTTTTTTAATTATTTTTAATTATAACATCCCCCCTATTGAAAAAATGAATCCAAGTAAATCTCAATGTATGTGGTCCATTGATCATTCTGAGTTCTGATAAATAATTTGTTAATGGGTTTGCTATGTAATCAGAGGTCAAGCAGAGAGAGAATTCAAGGTAGAGGTGGAAGCTATTGGGCGTGTGAGGCACAAAAACCTTGTGAGGCTTCTTGGCTACTGTGTTGAAGGAGCTTACAGGTATTCTGTATTCTTAGGATTCCCTCTATCCCAATGAGAGTATTCTCCCAACAAAAAAGCCCCGTTCGAGCTAAAGAAACCATTTTTCATTAATTAATTATTTCATGCATTTCTAAAATAGCGTTCCAAATTCGTTGAGCATGTTAGATTTAGTCAAAAAAACAAATAATTATTAAAAAATTAGCAAAAATTGATGATTTTTTGCTGTTTCACTTGTAAGCTTGTACCAAATGAGAATTAAAAAGAACTCTTCTTTCAGGACATAGGTAGAACTAGTTTGAATTTCTTATTTTCCTTTCCTGCTCAACCTGATTTTAGAAACTTCCTGATGTTTTTAATAATTGAATTGATATGTATCCTTAATTTATGTAGGATGCTTGTGTATGAGTATGTAGACAACGGGAATTTGGACCAGTGGCTTCATGGTGATGTTGGGGAAGTCAGCCCTTTGACTTGGGATATTCGTATGAATATTATATTGGGATGCGCAAAAGGGTATGCAATTAAAATTTGTTTCATATATTTTTCCCTTTAAATGTCATGTCTGTGAATAGCCAGTTGTTATTCAAATTACCATTATTATTGTTGTTGTTATTATTATTATCATTTTATTATTATTATTATTATTATTATTATTATTTTGTGGCAGCTTGGCCTATCTACACGAGGGTCTTGAACCAAAAGTAGTTCATAGGGATGTGAAATCCAGCAACATACTCCTTGATAGGCAATGGCATACAAAGCTGTCAGACTTTGGGCTTGCTAAGCTCTTGAATGCAGAGAGCACTTATGTGACAACTCGTGTGATGGGAACATTTGGGTAAGTTAATTTTTATCTCAGAGGGATTTATTTCCACAACTTTATTATTATCAATTCTGCCGGGCTTCATAGGTGATGATAAGTAAATTTTAAACCTTCTTCCATCAGATATGTTGCCCCAGAATATGCTTGCACGGGTATGCTGAACGAGAAAAGTGACATATATAGCTTTGGAATACTTATCATGGAGATCATCACAGGGAGAACCCCTGTTGATCATGGCCGTCCACAAGGAGAGGTCAGGCTTATATATAAAATACATTTTTGATTCATTCTGTCTAGCTGAATAAATAATAGTAACATGAATATTATTCCTATAGGTTCATTTGGTTGACTGGTTGAAGGCTATGGTTGGTAACAGAAAATCCGAGGAGGTCGTGGACCCTAAACTACCCGAAGTGCCTTCTTCTAAAGCACTAAAGCGTGTTCTTTTGGTTGCTCTTAGATGCGTTGATCCTGAAGCTCAGAAGAGGCCCAAAATGGGACATATTATTCATATGCTCGAGGCTGACGATCTTTTGTTTCGTGATGTATGATCAACATATATATCCTTTGCTAACAATTAAGTGCCTTTTTTAGTAGCCATAATTATCTTATTCTGCGTATCAGCATAATAAGTTTCTTTTAGCTTATTTGGCTTAAATTGTTGTAACTAGACACTCTTTCTTCCTAAAAGATTGAGTACGTCCAACCATTTCAGCCAAATAACTCTTAACAAAGAGACCCTAACAAGTTGACTTTATTGATTATGAGTGCTAAAATGTTGTTAGGACTTGGGAGTATCATCGTGTTGTTACTGGGTTTGAATCTTATAGTTTACAATCACATCTTGATGATCCTTTTCGGTTAAATTTGGCTCATTTTAACATGGTATCAAAGTTTGGTCCGACCCGATGGTGTGGGCCGTCCACCTACTCAATGGTTTGGGAACATTTGTCCACTCCGGGTTCGGCGGAGTAGGGTGTGTTGAGTGTCACATAGCATTCGTTTACCAAGTTCTTTTCTAAATGCCAAGTTTGATTCTAGCAAACAGGGATGAGGTACCTCAATCTTTTTGAGAGGAACTTTTTGAAGGGTAAGTTAGGGCCAATTTACCATATCCTCACAGTCACGCTTTCTAAATATTCCCTTTTGATTTATGCAGGAAAGAAGGGACAGAAGAGAATCGTCTGGCTCCCGCCGTGATCACAAGGAACACAATAATGCCGGTCCAAAAACAGGTATGAAACAATATGGGGATGTGGCTTCAGACATCAGCGAAGGCGAATGTAGTGGTAGGAGCCATAACCAACCATCCAGATTGAGACAAAACTAAAATATACTTGAGCACTCTATCAAAAAAAACATTTTTCAATTTGTGCATTTAGCTCCTTTTTGCCTAGCTTCTACCACATGTTCACATTGCTTGATTTACTCATTGACTCTATTTATTTGTTCACCACAACAGCTGTATATAAATATTCTCATTATCATTATATTACTCCCCGATTCGTTATTATTCATTCTTACACTCTCCTATCTTAACCCAGTGATTCTTTGCGACTTTTTTCGATATCTTTTTTCCAAATCCTTGTTTCTGTTAACGCATTTTTGCAAAATGATGCCGAGTATTTTCTTGTTAGCTCTCACCGTAGATATGACCTTAAGTAGGAGTCGCGTTTAGAGAGCTAGATTATAGAAGTGACTGATGGGGTCTTTAGGTATGATCATCACCACCACTTGCCAATGCCTGTAGGGTTCTAGTCTTAATGGGGAGGGACAATAATGAGCTGGCTGTTGAGATATATTTGCTGTGTTAGCCCCAATCTTCTCTACCTAGCTATTGTTATCCATTGATTAGCCTTTTCTTTTTTGTTGTTTTCTCTCTTTTCTGCAATTTATTTTATTCTACTTGAAGAATTTTTGTAGGGCATTAGCCCATAGGCTTTTCTGGGTGTTTATGGGGGTAATTAATTTCATTTAAAAAATATGAGTCTTTTCTTCTCGACTGAAATTTACTAAACTGAATTGAAATAAAAGTTTATTACAAGTACTTTATAATTCAAATTATAAAATTTTGAGCTGAAAATATGTAAAATTTGTGAAGTTTGTGAACTATTTATATGTGACTCTAGCATTTCTTTTTTAAGTTTGTTCAATTAGATAAAAATGTGGTGTGAGATTGATTAATTTGATATCAACCAATGAGAAACCATTGATTGGGTTTAAAAATTTCATTGCTTTAGTCATTCCCCTCCCCCATAATTATCATATGGAGTGATATACATTTTTCTGTTTAAAATATTTGACTTTATTTTTAAAAAAATTCTTTCTAAAAAAGATTGTGTGGTTCATGCTATTTTTTCTATGCACAACCTATAATCACGCATGTTTAACTTTATTAGATATCATGTTAATTATTCTCATACAAAAAGATAATTATGGAAAGTTGTTACGAAGTATAATTTGGTTTCCGGTCTTTACAAATCGGTGTCAATAACTCATGGGTCAAACCTATACTCAACCCGAATACTCGAAAAGTGATGTGTCATATTATGACCGGTCAGGAATAGATGGTGTGTGGGAAGACGTCGGAACACTCAAGGAAGATCTTTATCGGTCAAATCTACTCAAAAAGTGACCGATCATATTTTTGCATGCTCATCTCAAAAGATAATCTAGAAGATAACTCTACAGATGAGCCCGGTCGGACGTTTAAGGGCAGGTTGACGGGAGTGGCACGGTCTGTTGATAGGCGCGTGATCCAGCTACCTCACCCCGCCATCTACGCGATTTAATTGCGCAACGAAGATTCTACTCCGTAAGGGATGGCTAGATTGACGCTCGCTCATTCTCACACAAATTTGTACACTTTTATGACAGAATAAGAAATATAAGTTCGGGTACATGAATTCTTTCATAGTCTAAGTTACTCTAGTGTTCTTACTTCCTTGTGTGTTTTCCTTACCCGGTAGAATCCGTTTGGCCGGCCATGTCAGGTCCGGTCAAACCCACCTAATCAATTTACACCATCAATAACAAATTTGTTACTTGATACATAAATAAGAAAAATGATCTTTTATATACCGAGTACTAAGTAGGATATCACAACTTTACAAATCACAATTAGTAGTGGATACATTTGATTTGAATTGTAAGCAGTGTTTAATTTGTGTCGAGAATATGTTTTTCTTTTCTCTTTACTATAGCATTTATGAAAACACAGCAAGGTATCTTAGTGGGTTTTGCTGGCCAAGTGTGAAACCATGTGACGCTTTAACTAGCCAGGCTTGAATGGGAATGGTTTCATTGCCAATTGCCAAACACTACTCTCTTTATACTTTCTCAATTTAATAGCCTACAAGGAATCCAATCTAAGTAAATTTTTGCATTAACCTTAAGAAGAAGACATTTTACTATTCATGTCAAGGGAGAAGTTTTACAATTTACATATACTTTCCTTAAATTATGCAAATTTATGAGCTCAAATCTTTTGCCAATAACACTCGATGGTATAATACGAGCGACCCATTTGGATACCCCCGGAGCTCTTTTAGGTCCGAGTAAGCGTAGACAAGGTACTAATTTAAAATTAGAACTGGATTAGTATGGAGGATTTTGGAATCAGAATTGGGAATCGGTGGAAAAGATTTTGGTTAGGGTTTTCATTTTAGAAATCGAAACCAGTGGTTCTTCTAAAAAAGAGAAGACAATGAGCTAAGAGAAGAAAAACAAAATTTCTTCTATCTTACTAAGCAAAATGAGAGAAACTATTTTTTTCTTTTTCTTTTTAATTCATAGAACCAAATATAGTGTAAAAAAATTATACTATTCGAACAACATGCAAAAATTTGTACCTTTTTTAAAATCAAACAAGGCTAACAGATAGATTATATTTCAGCCCTTGGTTAACTTCTTTTCTTCTCACTAAATACTTCTCATCCTTGATTGCTTCACTCTTCCATGGTCTTCCTATGCATTATTTTATAAAAATATATCTCTTAGCTTCTTTATTATATTCTCAAATCCTGATTTTGGTTGAAGCAATTCAACACAACATTACTCCACCATTGTTAATTTGATTTTGGTAAGTATATATTATTATCCTTTAACTATTACAAATGGTTTTGGATATATTTTTTCCGGACCAGTTAAATTCAATCCCTCCCCCATCCCAAAAATCGAAAAAGATATATCCAAAGCAAATTGTAATTGTTAAAAGATAATACTCCGTAATATATAGTTACCAAAATCAAATTAACAATGATGGAGTACCGTTGTCTTGAAATACATATACCAAAATCAGTATTTGAGAATATAATAAAGAAGCTAAAAAGTGTCTTTTTATAAATGTAGAGAAAGGGTGAGAAGGGTGAGAAGTGTTTAGTGAGAAGAGAAAAGAAGGGAACTAAGGGCATAAATATAATCTGGCCGATAGTCTTTTTTATTTTTATATTGTAAAAGGCATTTATTTTTTTTATAATTTGGTTTAAAATAAAAAGAGAACTAACATATTATATTAAAAAAATTACAACAAAAATTCTACAAATAAGATGCAATAATAATATTTTATTTTATCAAATAATCAATAAAAATATACAAACAAATACTAGCTCCGCCCAGATTTCATCTTCCCGTCTAAAATATCATGATTTCTAATGAAATACTTTGATTATTAATATTGATATTTATACATAGGTATATATAGGGGTTGTTTGGCAACTTCTTAATACGTAAGTGCTGAACCGGTAAGAGGTCTGAACCATTAAGTGCTGAACCTGTAAGAGGTCTGAACCAGCTAGTATATTGCTTAACTATTCAGAGGCAAATGTCTGATCAATTCAGATAAGATGTTTTAACCATTCAGACTATGTATAATACTTAACCATTTAGAGGCAAATCTCTTAACCATTTAGACATTAAGAGGCTGAAACAAACAGTCTGAATCATTAAGTGCTGAACCATTTACACATCTGAACCATTAAGAGGCTGAAACAAACAGCCCATAGTATAAAAATTTAAGATTTCAAAACTATTTTTAAAAGAAAAATACAAATACCATATTTATATGAAATTAAAATGTTTTTATATATCGAGATCACATTTTACAAATTTTAATAAAAAAATTCAAATCAAAGGTTAAATTCGGATGAAAGAGTAAAAATTATCGAGAGATTAAAATTAAAAACTTTGTAAGGAGAAAATGAGAAAAAGAGAAGTCCAAGAATGTGCGGTTGAAGTCTGCACCAAGCGACAAACTGGATAAACTGTGGTCGTCGCTCATGAAACCTTCCTCATGGCCGCCGCATCCGCCGCCTTCCACCACCACTCTAGTCGCTGCTGCTTCCTCTCCGACGTATCCAAAGTGGCACTGATTACTAGGAAACACAGACCATTTCTGTTTACTTTTACAGAAAGATCACGCCTTTACCAGCTTTCTTGCTTTTCTTCTTCTTCTTCTTCCACTTCGCCGCCGCCGCCTCCGCGGTTGCCGGAATTAACTTCCACAGCTTCGACGGCCGAGTCTTGCGTCAATCTGGGCCTTTCCCTCTTTTCCAAAGGACGGGTACGCACGATCTGCTTCCATCTCAACGACTTGATTTTTGCACATTTTTACGGATCATCATCATCATCATCATCATTATTATCATTTTTGTTATTATTATTATTATTATTATTTTCATGTGCTCTTATTATTTTGTAAAAGAACAAAATTTGAAAGGAAAAAACTTGAAGTGAAACTGATTTTTTAAATTTCATACTAACAAATTAGGATTTATGGTTTCTTTTACTATCTTTTCCATTTCTTTAGCATTTCCTATTCCTTCCCAATTTTCTGAATCAAATATAGTGTTTTAGTGGTGTATGAAGTGGAATTTCTTCAGCCATGTTAGTAATTACAGAGTATGACATAAATTTTTAAATTTTAAGGTGAAAGATGCTTTGGAGCAGTTTGATTCAGCACTAACTTTAGAGCCTAATCCATTTGAAGCTCAAGCTGCACTTTATAATAAAGCTTGCTGTCACGCATACAGGTACTTTTGTGTGTGTAATGAGGATGATTTTACACCCAACATGTGCAAATGAGCATTATTCAAACATAAAATGAGCATTTCTCACATTCAAATGAGCATTTTTTAGAGGTAAAATGAGGATAATAATAAAAACACAAACACCAAAAAAACCTAAAAAGAAATGTACATTTTTTAGGGGAATGATGAGGATATCGTCAAACAAATCAAAAGAGTTCCAATAGATGTCAAGAGTTCGAATCTCATTGTCACATAATTTTTTTAAAAAAAACTACTCCGTAATATTTATGTGCAAGTCTCGAATAAAATTTTTTTTTGCCTAGAGTATAAAACCTTTTGGGACCTTTAACTGAGCTTTTGTTTGTAGGTCCGGGAAAAGATCTACTCCGTATTATCTAACAATAGCATTGTTGTTGGACCTTATGTTCTTGTTTGTTTCTTGATGAAGAGGGGAAGGTAAAAAAGCAGCTGATTGTTTGCGCCTTGCTTTGAAACAATATGAACTCAAGTTTAGCACAATCCTAAATGATCCTGACTTGGCTTCTTTCAGAGCATTACCTGAATTTAAAGAATTGCAAGAAGAGGTTTGTTTTTCAAGGCTACGCATGTCTTTCTGAATTTTGTTTGCTTCCTTCCATCTGAAAGTTTTAGTATGAGTTACCTAAATCACAATTTTGTTGTCTTCAAATTTTGTGCATGTTGATTTTAAGGTGCCAAAATTGCAAATATGGCAACTGCCAAGTCATCTTTGTGTCATGATATCTTCAATGCAATTGAAAAAAAAAACTATGGTGATTTTTGGAATTTCATTTTGTTATTCCTTCCTAAGAAGATTGAGGCTGGATAGACATCTGAAACTTAACATAGTCAAGACTAAGTTGATATAATGCAATGGAAGCAACTCCAAGTATTGCATTACAAGCACCAACTACCATATAACCCCTACATCTGACCTAAAAAATGAGTTTTTTTCTTCAGTAAGGTGCATATGAGAAATCATTCAATAATGACATCAAAACCAGTAAAATGCCACAAAAACTTGGATTTGAAGAGTGTGTGTATGCAGCCTGGCTCAACACAGAAGCACGAAAAAGTATCAGAAGCCATTTATTGTAATTATATTTTCTATAATTTATTTGTTGGTTTGATTGAACTTAACATGCTCAAATTGTTTGGGACACTATTTGAAACAAAACAGTAATTATAATGAAAGTTAGCGTCTTTTATTTAGATTTGACTCTTTTAGGGACAGATTTAAGTTTTCAAATAGGACTCTTTTTACAGACGGCAAGAGCAATTTGTCTTTTACCATGATTTCAGGCTAGGCTAGGTGGAGAGGATATTGGGTACAGTTTCAGAAGAGACCTCAAGCTCATAAGTGAGGTCCAAGCTCCATTTCGAGGGGTTAGAAAATTCTTTTATGTTGCATTTACTGCTGCGGCTGGAATATCTTTGTTTTTCACTATACCAATGCTAATTCGTGCACTCCAAGGTGGAGATGGTGCTCCCGATGTTTGGGAGACCTTAGGAAATGCTGCAATCAATATTGGCGGTGAGTATCAACCGTGTCTATATGAGTTTGTTTATGTTGCTTAGTGTGTTACAATTGGGTCATGCTATAGTCACACCATGAATGACATCAACGTTGACACAGCCAGTGTTTCACTGATAATGAATGTCTTAAGGTGATTATCTCTTGTGGTGTCATCCCTGGGTTACACTAGCATTCCTCACCACAATTTCCTATACTTTGGGCAGAAATTATGGAGCTATGGAAAAACCTTAAAGCTTGTTTGGGATAACTTATGGTATACATGCTTTTATCATAAGTAATCTCTCAGTTAAGCGCTTAGGATGTATCTGGGTGGAGGGGAGGGAAAGAAAAGGAAGGGAGAGGACTTGAAGTTTTTTTTTTTTAAAAAAAAACTTCATATCCTCACCTACCATCCCCCCTCCTCTCCTCTCCATTCTCCTCAAACAAACATACCCTTAAACTTCTTTCTTGAAATAAACTTCTTTCTTGAAAAAAAGATCCAACCTTGATTTCTTAATTAAGCATTAGATGTTTTTACTGTTCAAAGGGCACTTGTTTCATTTGCATAACACTTTATTTTTTGAAGTATAAGAGTTATTCTTCCTTGAAAATAATAAATGGTTAAAACTTTTGAACCAGCAACCTGCAGGTATTGTTGTGTTTATGGCTTTGTTCTTGTGGGACAGCAAGAAAGAGGAAGAACAACTTGCACAGATAACTAGGGATGAAACACTATCAAGGCTTCCCGTTCGCCTTTCAACTGATAGGATTGTCAAACTTGTCCAATTACGCAACACTGTGAGACCTGTTAGTAACATTAATCTCAATTGTTCTTCATTTTTTAGTTGCAAATTTGCAATAATTAATATTGTCAATAGTTTTTGAAGCTTTAGCATTGGGTGTTGCCTGTTAGTGACTTGAATCTCAAGTGTTCTTACAATTTTCTTTTTTTTGAGATTTTATGATCTCTTAGATCTTGTCTGCAGGTTGGTAAAGTAGAGCTCGGTTCTTTTGACATCATATGACACCAATCCATTTGAGGGCTCTATGATGCTCCATTTAGTCTTGTAGTGGTTTCTACCCCTGACCCCCGCAAAACCTACTCCCTCAACCCCTAGCCCTCCACCCCACACCTCCCCACACCTACATATTTGATGGTGGATTGTCACTAAAATGTGGGGCTAGGGAAGGGGTGTAGGGCTGTGCTAGAGTGTAGGAACCAGTTCAGGATCAAACGGAGCACAATATGACCCCAAACAGATTGGTGTCATATTATGGCATTGGGATTGGGTGTCAAAAGAATCTTAATGTATAAAGTAAAGAATTCCTAAGCTTATCAATGAAAATTTGACAAGAAATGAGAAATATGTCACTACACATTTTTCCAGGGACAGAAATATGTCATCCTATCAAAATGAAACTAAAATACTCGTATGTTTCAATCTGATTATTTGCAATAGGTTATTTTGGCCGGGAAGAAAGAAACAGTTGCTCTGTCCATGAAAAAAGCTGAGAGGTTCCGCAGTGAGCTACTCCGGCGAGGCGTCCTTCTGGTTCCGGTTATATGGGGTGAAGGACGGGTGCCACAGACACAGAAAAAAGGCTTTGGTCTTTCTCCAAAAACAGCCTCTTCGCTGCCTTCTATCGGAGTAAGATTGTGACTTTCAATGACCGTATTGTAGCCATTATTTTTTAAACACTTTTATGGTTCACGACTTCAAGGTTGTTATTGGTCTGGGTCCACTCACCCTCCCCAGACTTTACTTTTGTGTGGGATTCAACGGAGTTTTTCTTATCTTCCTATGCTATTATAGGAAGATTTTGAGAAGCGAAGCAAGTCGATAATTGCACAATCAAAATTAAAAGCAGAGATTCGGTTCAAGGCAGAGGCGGTGCCACCAGTTGAGTGGGAAAGGTTAGTCCTTCCTATTGAGTCCTCAAAGTAAATGTCAATATGGCCTTCGTTGGAAATTTGTGCTCGACCTTTTTGGTTATTGGCTTGTTTGAAGGCTTGACTGAATTACTTGTTTTGACCGGCTGGTTGTACCTGGCTGCTCATCGCTGATGAAATTACATTTAAGGACATGTTTCTGTATATTGAATTTGCTCAGGTGGATTAGAGAACAGCAGAAGTCTGAAGCTGGTGTTACGCCCGGTGAAGATGTATATATTCTGCTTCGTTTGGATGGTCGCGTCCGAAGATCTGGAAAGGTTTATGCCGAACTTGCCCCAATTTTTTTCGTATTCATACCCTTTTCTGATCCTTTATGAAATTTAATTTTTCGGTTTTTTTTTCATTATTTCAAAAAAACAAAACTTTCAGGGGATGCCTGACTGGGGACAGATTGTCAAGGAGTTGCCTGAAATGGAAGCACTATTAAGCAAGCTTGAAAGATAAACAGTAAATAGTTTATTCATTGCCTGAGGGAACCATTACTCTGCTGTATTTACAAATCTGCCCCTTGGGTTGGAATTTTAATTATTGTTTGGTTTCGTTTGTTTAAGAAATGTAGCCATCAGTTTTACTCGAACCAAACAAGTGAAAAAACAACGAAATACATCGTGCTTTTTTTTGTCTCCCATTTAAATACTTGGGGATGTCTCGATATCCAAATCCTTTGTAAAGTTTGTTTTCTCATTCCTGACCCCATCCATGTTTCCTGCAACTTAGCCCCAAACTAAGTTTTCTATATGTTTGACATGGTTTTTTTTTAAAAAAAATAAAATTGTGTGAATGACGTTGTAAAAAAAAGAACAAACAGTTGTACGTTTCTTTCTTTAGATCGAATGCTTAGTTTTGCAATGGACTAAAGAAAGATAGTGTGAAGCTAATTTGGGAACGCAATGAACACATTGCATGATTCAAAATGGACTCTTGATCCTACCATCAACTCGATAAAATTTAAGACTGGGTAAAAGTTGAATCAAATTTGATTAAACTTTTTATCTCATGATCTTATTAACCGTCATCATCTTGAAAAATTTTCAATGTGGAATATTTCAACACAACTTAATCAAACTCGGACATGATTTAAACTAGTACAATGGAACGTAAAATTTTATTGTGTTTAAAGAATGGAGTAAAGGCTGTATCGCGTTTGCCTTGCTAACATTATTAATAAGAATACAAAAGAAAAAAAAACTCAAAAAAGCTTGGAACTAATAAAACAGAGGTCCGACCTGCCGGATTCGAACCAGCGACCTAAGGATTGGCTGTCAGAGTGAACGCCCCTACTACAGTCCTCCGCTCTACCAACTGAGCTAAGGTCGGTTGTTGATTTTGGGAGCTTGTTAATAAACTAAATACGGAAGATAAGCTATCTGGCCTTAGTTCGATTAAGCAAAAAATTAAAATATGGGGTGAGAGAGGCTCGAACTCTCGACCTCAGGATTACTCTTTAAGCTATGAGACCTACGCGCTAGCCAACTGCGCCACCACCCCTGCATTGCTTTTTACAGTTGATAGGTTTATTAATATCTTCATTTTCTTTTTCAAAAAAAGAAAACTTCATTTTCTATACGTAAATAACAGCTGCTAAATCCACACCTTTTTATCATAAATACATTCTAGTTCTCTTCAACAACAAAAAAAAAATCTAGTTCTTTCCCAACCAAACAAAACATCATGTCACTATGGTTCAAAATATGCTTCTTTTTCTTCTTCTCATGGTATTTTTACTTCATGAAAATATTGCCACCTTGAAGCAGCAACTCTAAGTCCTTCAATCTGCAAAAAAAAATAGCATCAAGAAACTATAAACTAGAATACTGGTATACAACAACAACAGCATTACCCCGATGCCTCAAAGGCTCCCGCTCAATCTGAATTGGTTGAAATATGAAACACTACTTAACAGCCTCTACTTGTACCTAACATCACTCAAGTCGGGATATTTTGCAAGGGCTTCTTTGAAATCCTGATTAGCCGTGGATGAAGTATATGTAATTACACATGACATCCCCGCACTTGTTGCAGCCTGAAGATATTGTGAATAATAAATCTTCATTGTTTTGGTCAGATGTATAAAAAGTTTGTCTAAGTAATTAAAAGTCATAGTTGCACTTTCAATCAGAGAGTATGAAGATATGTAATCAAAAGGAGAAAGAGATGGTTCTTATTAATAACACTTAAATCTTTACTTCTCATAGTCGAAGGCAGATATAAACATCATTAATAATTAAAGAGACGTCTATGGAGCATGATTTTAGATTGGAGGGTTTAAACCTGTAGTCCAATGACACCATCCTCTACCACAAGACAATTTCTTTCTGACACACCAAGCCTCTGAAAAATTATAGTGATAACAATAGCAACAACAATAATGATAATGCATCAACATATTCGAATAGCAGGGGTGAAACTAGTGGATTGAAAGTAAAAGGTTCACAATTTTAATAACCTTGGCAGCTGCTATATATATTGAAGGATCGGGCTTTTTTTCCTTCACATCGTCGCCTGAAAAAGAAAACCAAATTCTTATAATATTAAACCCTTCCTGAACCTACAACAACAAGCTTGAGCTAAAACATTCGTTCTTGTTGTTATATTTACTTGAAGCTAAAACATTGTCATTTTGACTCGTTATGCTCCATTGGCAATGGATGCTGCCCTTCCCATTTTATTATTGCGAATCATAATTCTATGTGCAATTATTACACATCCACATCATGTAAAAAGGAAGTGAAATTTCAAGAGAAGTGAAGCATACCTGCAAGAAAGCAGTTGAGGCCATGGAACCGATCCTAAATTAACACATGTTTGGAAAGAAGTGAACTAATGTTGTTTGTGCAGAAGACCAGAAGCGAATTCATCTTGATGAAGAATGATGTACAAGGTTCATTTAACTAATGAGCTTACAGTTCCGATAAGATATTCCAGAGTAAGTATGACTGAACTTTTAGTTGCAGCAGAGCAAACAGCAAGCTTCTTTCCCTATCACAAAATACAGATCAAAGACTGCTAAAAATGCCACTTCTAGGAATTAAGACTAACACTTTACTCAGATCCCACACAATTTGCAAAGAACAAGGTACTTCAGGAAGCATATTCTTAACCACCAAAGCAAATTTGATATATACATGGAAAAAGAGACACATCAAACGAACAAAATTACAAAATGGTTGTGTCTTACTGCAGCCTTGGCCTCATCCATCAATCGCAAAACCCCCGGTCTTGGTTCAACCTACCAAACCAACAAACACATATGACCGGTTTGGTAAGGTAGCTAGACTTTCTTTAAAAAAAACATTTGGCAACATTGATTCTCTTTACAAGAAAATGAGCCGATTAATGTCCACGAATGGGGCCAAAGCCACATTCATCTATAAGATCATTAGTTTGTCTTCTTTCCCTCACATTTCCAGATTGGATGATCTGCTGGTATCTTTCAGACTTCCAGTCCTAACCATAAGAAATAAAATAAAATGAAATGTAAGTGTAACACCCATTTCATTAACTGAAAACTGAGAATAAACTTGAAATTGGTACTTGAAGAGTATCAATCAGCTTGGATCTATCTGCTTCGCCTTTTGGAGGATTTTCAAAGATTGTAGATGTTGGCCATCCGCGCTCCATAAAATACCTAATTTGTTCCAATTTTGGTTACCAAACTCCAACAAACGCATTCAATCCATACATTACACTTAAACCGAAATTATAATCATATGAATTTGAGAGACACCATCGCATTTTAGGTTTTCCGCCGCCGATTCTGTTCTGGAGATCATCGTAGAAGTCCACATCCCAATTCAGTGGCTGAGACGACCCAGAAGAAGGGCAACGGACATTGAAGTGAGAGAAAGCGTCGTTATATGCGCGCCTGTGAAGGTGCTCCGACTCCAGTATAACGCCATCGCAGTCGAAGATCAGCGCGTCTAGAACGCGCGCCGACGCCTGAACGGAGAGTGATTTTACTCGAGAACGGAGCCGGGGGGTCCTGCGGCTGGCAGCTCCTCCGATCGCGACGGGAAGAGAGAAGAGGAGAGAGTTGGAAGAAGATAGAGATGGATTGTGTGGAGGAGGAGGAAAGAAAAGCACCGCACACGCCGCCATGGCTCGGCTGTCCGTTCACCACGGCGACGGTTGGGAGATTTGGCGGGTATAGTTTGCAGGGCAGGCGCCAGGCGGGTGGTACCGGCGATTTTTCTATACATCCATTTCTTATCCTTTAGTCCAACCCGTATTTGTGGACTTTTCATTTTTATTGGTACCATAAATTAAACGTAAATTCAAAAAGACAAAATAATAATAATAATAATAATAATAATTTCCAAATGGAAAAAAGAAAAATGTAGGACGAAGATATTACTTCATTACGTTTTCCTTCTCAAACTTTCTTACGCAATACTTCATCAATCTTAAAACTTTCTTCTTGATTATTATTCACACGGTCAAACTTTTATCGTTCAAATGAAATTGATCTTTGGAACAAATTAAATATAAATAAGAAATTGTGTGCTATTTATGTTGTTAATGTTATATTCAAAAGGGAGAAAAAATTGAACCATGCTATATACGGAGTAAATGACAACAGTTCTTCTACTGAGCTACGAAATTACTTGTAGTATCTCACTACCTTTGCTTCCGTACAAGAGAATTTTGCATTGCATAGTAGTTTGTGTTTGAATGTTAGAGGAAATAAACAATTGAATTAGTATTTTTGCACTTCTGCAGGATTGCAGAGTAGTTTGCATTTGTAAATTAAATTTATAAGAGCTATTATATATATATATATATATATATATATATATATATATATATATATATATATATATATATGATGGCATGTTCTTTTGGGTTATTTACTCTCGAATTCTTTAAAAAATGTACAGATTCTCCTTGTACTTTAAAAATTGTACTAATATATAATTGCTGAATGTTTAAATTATGTATTCCACCTCAGCTCCTACTCAAATATTAGTTTTCTTACATACTGTATACTTATTTAGCTGATCATTTTATTGAATGAATTTTTAACAATTTTTTTTTAATTATGAGACACGTGATTGATATTTGAGTTGAAAGGGAAATATTCTCTCACCAATTCAGATCTAACCAGAATGTGTTTCAATTAAATGAAAACCGAAAGTTTGGTGAAAAATAATACTCGTAAGACACTTTCTGAACCATATTATTTATCTTGTGTATGAAAACGTGTCCACAGTCCACAGGTTTCGTTGATTTTTATTTAGAATTTTACAATTGAAAAAAAATTAAAATCAATAACGATTTTAGATTGAAAAACTTTAGTGGGAGAAGGGTTCTGTTGAGTAAAATGGCACTCCACCAAAAAACAAAGTAAATTTCATTTATGAAACACATGGGAGTGCTTTTACAAACACAATTAAGAGCATTGAACATTGTTTAACACCAGGTGTGTGACCCCGAAAACATTAGACACTTTAGTTCACACACAAAATAATATCCTTGACACCAACATTTAAAAACCACTAAGCAAAAGATTAGGTACTAATTTAACTAGATGAGAGACACCAAATAGAAGTCAAGACACAGAACAATTACAGGGCAAAGAGATGGTATGATCATTATTATCTAAGCACGTTCACCCCTGATCCTCCGGGCGAGCTGGATGTCTTTGGGCATTATGGTCACCCGCTTGGCATGGATAGCACAAAGGTTGGTGTCCTCAAAGAGACCAACAAGGTAAGCTTCAGCCGCCTCCTGGAGTGCAAGAACAGCATGACTCTGGAAACGCAGATCAGTCTGCAACACACAAAAAAAGATTTATATACTTAGCACTTGTTTCTCTTAGTTGGAAAATATTCCATTCTACCCACTTTGGGGGGGGGGGGTCGGATTTCATCTTCACCGTAAAAGGTTTAGAAGTTCTGACTCCTGATTATGATACAAGGTTTGGTTAAAACAACAGAGATAATCCAACTGAAAACATCCTAAAGAAATTTCCATTTACTAAAAGAGCACTTATTGAGGATTTTTATTACCTTGAAATCTTGAGCAATCTCCCTGACAAGCCTTTGGAAGGGGAGCTTCCGGATCAGAAGTTCAGTACTCTTCTGGTACTTGCGGATTTCCCTAAGAGTGGACAATATTTGCACATCTTAAGTACAGCAATGAAAAAACATGGCACACCGACCACAGAATAATGAGATATATTATCTGCAAATTGTACTCACCGAAGAGCAACAGTACCAGGACGGTATCTGTGGGGTTTCTTCACCCCACCAGTAGTTGGTGCAGACTTCCTGGCAGCCTGCAAACGCAAGCGTACTCATCGAATTTATTTTAAAATATAGTTTTTAAATATCTAATATTTATAATATTTAAATATTTTAAATTATATTTAATTCGTGGTCAAAAGATGTTACAATTTGACAAAAAAAGTCAAATTATGAAAATTAATTTTATATTATCATTTGACATTAATAACAAAAATATGTCAATTTGAAGAAAAAAAAAGTTCTTGTTAATTATTGAACATAAATAAAATAAATTTAAGCAAAAAACATTACTATGAAGAAAAAACACTATTAACATGTAGGAAAGAGATTAGGGACGCCGGATGCCAACTCACCCCTGGATCGCCGGAATATGACAATTCCAATCAGGGTATGAGTTTGTTACTACCTTCGTCTCCCGAAGCATAATTTCTCTTTTTTTTCATCCCTTCAAACAACTTTTCTAATTTCTATTAAAAACTTAAATTACTCATTATAACTCTTAGACTGACATCACATTTTTCATTATTAATTACTCATCACATTTTACTTTTATATATTACATCTAATGACGTTTTTGAAAAGCCATCACTTAAAATACAATCTCTTAAATCCTTTAAAATTCAAAACTCGAAAAATTTTATGAGAGAGTAATTCTTTAAGTTGGGATATGTTGTTGATTTTAGTGTCATCAGCTATTTGATGTGATTGGGTTTACTTAAATCAGATAAAAATTTGAATGAACGTTGTCAAACGAGTTAGGAGACGCGAAACGCGCACTCGTTCAACAATATTACAAATTTATAGTAGGGATCCGGGGGCGGCAGCGCCCGGGAAGCGAGGATCTAGGAGCGGCAGGCCCAGGTAGCGGGGTCCAATGGACAGATTATTTCCTTATGAAAATTCTTTAGATTTTCGTGAACGAAGACCAAAATATTAGAAAATCTTGGACGGATAAAGATCGACTTTGAAAAACTAATCACTATTCACAAGTCAAATTAATTTATTTTCTTTCTATGTTTTCATAATTATTTCATAAAATAAAATAATATTACCAATATATAAAAAATTTTATATAATTTTTAATATATACGGAGTACTAATTTTTATTTTTTTCTATTTTATATCAATTTAAACGAGAAAATTGCTCCTGAGTACCCCATATTTTGAAAAACTAACTGCTGGGTACCTCATATTTTTAAAATATACTTCGAGGTGCCCTCTATTTTTAGAAATTAACTATCGAGTACCTCGCATTTTTAAAATATACTCTAGGGTACCTCCAAATATACATTAACTTACCTATAAGGGACATTCTGTTTCATTCGAAAGCTTCGATTAAACTCGATAGATTGTATCATTAAAGTATAAAAACTAAGGTTATTTTTGGATTTCCAAACCTATAATTCTTAAAATTAATGGCGTAACTGGCTTTGACGAAGAGTGAGACAGGATGTCCTTCACGGGTAAGTTAATGTATATTTGGAGGTACCCCGGAGTATATTTTAAAAATGCGAAGTACCCAGTAGTTAGTTTCTAAAAATAGAGGGTATCTCGGAGTATATTTTAAAAATATGAGGTACCCAATTTTCTCAATTTAAACTTACATTGATTTGAAAAAAGTGTAGAGTAAAGAATGAAGGAGTAGTATTATATGGAGTATGAGTGAATATACAGGATCATCCGTTTCTGCCTTTCCCCGAGCCCGTCGATCTCTTCTCCTTCGTCAATAGTTGCGCCCCCGTCGATCGTAGCCCGCCTCGATCTTGACCGTAGCTGCAACGCCCGCCGCCGCCGCCGATTCCCGCGAAGCAGAGAGATACCGCGTCTTCTTCAAAAGTTCTATCTTCTTTATTGTTTATCTTTTCAGGTATTTCTTTTAAGTTTTTTAATTGATTTTTTCCCTTTTGGTCTAAAATTTAGGTTATGTGTAATGTGTTATTGTGTTAAATGTTGTTGGAAATTGAATTTATTTGGAAATGTGATTTAGGATGAAAGAAAGTAGATTGCAGAAAGAAGTGTTTTTGAATATTTGGAATGAAGATGTAATTGATCATTTTCAAAAAATGAAAACTGGTAGAGAATATTTTTAAAATGTAAGTTTGTTTCGGTTTTATTACAGATTTTCTTTTTATTTATTTTAAGTTCATTTTTATTACTCCTAGTAGTATATTTTTGCTGACCAAATGTGTCCTGGTGGAAAAACAAATCTGGATCTGCTACTGCATTGTATCACTCTTATTTTCACGATTCAGATATGTATTTGCTTTGTAAATATTTTATTTTAATAAAGTGATTCAGTGTATTTGTTTTTCTAAAGTATTTGTTGGATTTTTATAATTTCAGTAGTTTCTGTTAAATTAAATTCTATTTTTTTAAAAAAATATTATCTATTACAATAAAGAAGCTGCTTTTTGTTAGCTTTTTTTTCTCTTCAAAATTATTGCTTAAGCAAAATACAATATAGTATTGCGGCTATGCATGGTCGGTACTTGCTCGTGTGAAAAAAAGAACATTTTTAGTTTTTTTACCATATCTAAGGGAGGTAAGTGTGACCAATTCTTATTTAGCTTGCCCTTTTTAGTAAAATTGAAAACCACAGATAGCATAATGAATTCATTTTTTACTTAGGCCAATCGATCATCACCATTGATATCCTCACTAATATCTAACAAACACATCAGTCCATCTATAGAAATGACATGTTTTGGTGGCATGAAATCTAGTAAACCATGTGTTTAAATAGACAACACTTGTATTATGAGTACGTATTCTAATAGAACGGACTTATTTTAACCCCGAGACGACAATAATATTAACACCGCCAAAGACAATCACGTGTAGATAGTCATAGTCCGTCTGGCGGTGTAAACCTTGGGGTATCGTCCCCGGTGTGATTGTATCATGGTCCATCCAAAAATAGCTCATTTATCTTTTATGTGCAACAGCAATGTCATCAGGATCAGACCATAAAGCCACCATCATAGATGGAAAGGCAATTGCGCAGGCCATTCGATCTGAGATTGCATCAGAGATACAACTCATGTCAGCAAAGTATGGCAAGGTTGGTCTTATATCTCACTCACTAAATGAGAATGCATTAGCAATATGTTTAGATAGAAGTTAGCATTGCCATGTCCTGTTTGGGATAACTTATGGTATAAGGACTTCCTCATTTAAACACATAAAGCAAGTGTTTTTTTAAATAAAAATAAAAGTAGTTATTACTGTTAAAAACATTTTTCCCATTTTACCTGCTGCATGCTTCTTTTTGACTGGGAAGTACTCTTCCTGCTCAGAAAATAACTTATTCCTTGAAAACAAGTCATTCCACATGCACACAGGCCTTTACCGAAAGCGTCTTTCAGTTGATTGATTCTATAAATCGTTGCTTTTTATTAGCATAATGATGCCAGGATTGAGCGATCTTTTATGAGTTTTTATTAATATCAGGTGCCAGGATTGGCTGTAGTCATAGTAGGAAATAGGAAGGATTCTCAAAGCTATGTGACTATGAAGAGAAAGTCTTGTGCCGAAGTTGGGATTAAGTCCTTTGACATTGACCTTCCAGAGGATGTACATGAAGCTGAACTTATTTGCAAGGTCCATGAACTGAATGCTAATCCCAATGTACATGGTTGGTCAGTTATGAGCTTATTATCAGTTACTACTCTTTCCGTCCCAAAAAACTTTACAAGTTTGACTTTCATGGAGTTTAAGAAAAGTGTATGGTTTGGATTTGTTTAGATTAGAGAGAAATCTTGTTAACCACATGTTCATTACTAAAAAAAGAAATAAACTGGGAAGTGCTTTTTGGGACATTTGGCTAACTTTTTGTTGGGATGGAGGGGGGTATTGTTAAACACCTGTTTGGTTAAAGTTATTATGCTGAAATGGTTGAACCAGTTAAATTTTCCACTAGAAAAAGTGTTTGATAATGTAACACCCATTTTAGGCAAAAGAGTAAGGCACATGCTACGTATTCAGATTATTCTTCTTATTATGCCAATAATTCTAATAAGCCAATTTCAGCTAGCAACTGGAGCCTAAGGTTTTAATTCCACTTTCACTTCTTTTCCGTCTATTACTAATGGAGCTAGAATGGTCATCATTGACAATGTTTTAGTTTTGTGGACATACTGGACTAAATAAAAAATGCACATTCAACTTACCTTGCTTCTTACTCTCTATGAAGTTTTGGGCAGTAAATGTAGCAACGCATTTTGAATCAAACAAAAACAACCTCTTTATCAAACATGGGTAAAACTGCCTACATCTTGATCCCTAGACGCCAACACAGTTGGGATTATACTAGATTGTTGTTGTACTATAATGTCTAACTGCATGCAATGCATTATCACAGGCATATTGGTGCAGCTTCCACTACCAAAACATATAAATGAAGAAAAAGTATTAAGTGAAATCAGCCTGGAAAAAGATGTAGATGGATTTCATCCTCTAAACATTGGTAAGCTTGCGATGAAAGGGAGAGATCCTTTGTTCCTTCCTTGCACTCCAAAGGTAGTATATCTTGTCACTGACTTAAATCAATTCACTAGCCATTCACAAATCACACTAATGATGCATCATGTAGAAGTATTTGTGTACTCATCATGGGCATCACTCTACACGTTAATCCCAACTATGTTGGGGTTTGGGCCATGAAGTTTATAGTGCCAATTAAATTTCTTAATACTCCTACCCCTCCTCCTCACCTTGCCAAATTTAAAAGTTGTACCTTGACTAAACATGACTTCGTTTTGGGACGGAGTTGTGTTATAAATTAGTGCAAAAAAAATACCGAGTATAATGGAAAAAAAATGTGACGCTGGAAGCTCTTCTCTTTGATAATTACAGCATTCACATGCCTCGTTACAAATCTGATATTCTCTTTTTTCGGAACTACCACCTGAAGTTAATTCGTTACAACCCTTGGAGGCGAGGCACGTTAACCTCAATGAGTACTAAGCTCGATTAAACCCTTCATTTTTTTAAAGCTCAAATGAACACCCTTAGAAAACCCCTTTACATCCCATTCCCCTTGCTTCTTTTGCGGATAAATCCCGTGTGAGCATCTTGGAACATGATGTTAGAACTAATAATTTATTTATCTTAATATCTTGTCTGCTGTACCCAGGGTTGCCTTGAACTTCTGTTTCGAAGTGATGTTTCCATAAAGGGGAAGAAGGCAGTTGTGGTTGGTCGAAGCAATATTGTTGGATTGCCAGTCTCTCTGCTACTTCTGAAGGAAGATGCAACTGTTACTATAGTCCACTCACGTACGGAGGAGCCAGAGAGAATCATTTGTGAAGCTGACATTGTTATAGCAGCCGCTGGACAGCCTATGATGGTAAAAAAATACAGTGCATCTATTTACTTCCTTATCCTCACCTATTGCAATTCCATGCGGCATACTGGTGGAAAAGCTAAAAATATAGAAGTATAACCGTTCACGCAAAAAAGAAGAAGCATGAATACGATTATATTAGAGCCACTTGGTGTCATACATGGTGTAACTATAGCATGACTTTTTATTACAAATTCGTTCTTGTTTCCCCTAACCTTTTTAATGCATTTTTTTATAAAATGTTTTAGATCAAAGGAAGCTGGATCAAACCCGGGGCTGCTGTGATCGATGTAGGAACAAATGCGGTAGATGATCCGAGTAAGAAGTCGGGTTATAGGCTGGTGGGTGATGTTGATTTTGAAGAAGCATCCAAAGTAGCCGGTTGGTTAACTCCGGTTCCTGGTGGAGTTGGCCCATTGACAGTGGCAATGCTGCTGAAGAATACTTTGGTTGGAGCCAAACGAGCCGTGGAAATGTGATTTTACACAACTAAAAGTGTACCCACAGTGTTCAACCTCAACCTGTTCCAGAAAAATCTCATTGAAATAAGATATGTAACTACTCTACACCAATGTCTTCTTTGCCCCCACATGTTTCTTGTTCTCCCAATATATTTTTTTCTTTTGAATGTTCCATTTTATTTGTCCACACTATGAGATGTCTGACCTTCAAACTCTTTCTCTGAGCAAGCCTCCTTGGTCTAGTGAACTGAGACCAACTTGGGAAATTAAACCACAGTCACACACAGGAAGGGAATTTTATGAGGTTTAAAAATGCAATAAAGCTAGGGTAACCCCAAGGTTGGCCCAGAGGGTCGCATAGACCACACAAAAATTTATTGTCACCGTCTATGCTACAACAACAACAACCTAGTAGAATCCCACAAACAATAAAGGCATGTACTTGAGGTCATTTTTTGAGTTACCCTAGCACAATACTTACAAATGAGGAGTTAGACTTATAGTTCAAGAAAATTTCTCATTTTCCCCATTTTGTAGTAATGTAGTATGTCTCAAAATGTTTGTTCCTGGTCAGATTTGGCTTCACCCACACTTCATTAATTGAATATCAATTATCAATCTACTTTTTTCTTCATTCCTGAATTGCCAACACTCTTGAAATGATTTGATTCTGGCTAGAGAAAACATTACAATATTTGAAAGAGTTCTTTTTAGAGAGAGAGAGTTGAAACAGATTTTAAAAAATTTGTGTTTCTTTCATTGCAACGCAAAAGGGTTCATCATGGGGCATTTTTAAGATCGATAATGCGTAATGTGAGTTTTCTCATAAATTTTTCTTGGAGTTATAGACTGATCTCTTTTGTTTTACAAGACTTTATATATACAATTGTTAATTATGTTTTTGGTCCCTGAAAAATTAGAGAGTTTTGCTTTTGGTCCCTCAAATTTTTTTATATAAAATCATCCTTGTAAAATTATTATCTTTGCAAATAGTCCATCCCTTGTTTAAATATACAATTTGATCCTTGTAAAATTTATATATTTTATTTTTAGTTTCTCTAGAGTTCTTTTGGTTCATTCTTACTCTTGTTAATACTTTGTACGAAATTAACTCATTCTTTTTAGTCAAGATAAACTTAATTACAAATTTACAATGTCAAAGTCATTGAAATATTTTTCGAAGCTTAACCGAATAACTATGTTACTAAAAATTTGTTTAAATTTTTTCTAAAGTAATAATTTCTAATAAAAAAACTTTAGCTAAATCAATATCCGGGTCGTCTTTAATAACTATCTTTTATTTAAAAAAAAAATTAAACATGTGAAATTTATTGGATGATAGTTATCTATTTCATTTTTTATATAAAAAAATTAGTCTGATATAGAAACTTAATATATCGAAAAAAAATGAAATAGTGTAGTGGTTTGTGTTTTTTTTTCCAGCCCGGAAAAGAAGACCGAGAATAACGTGTATGTGATTTTAGTTAACACGTTTCTAGACCCTTCTTCTTCTTCATCTTCTTCCTAGCACCAGACCCGTCTCGTCGTATTGTTTTCGGAAGTCTTTACCCTATCTGTTCAATCAACCCTATCATCTTCAATCTCTTTATTTTCTGAATTTCATACCGCATCAGGTAATATTTGCCCCAATTTCGTATCCTTTTCGTTCGAATTATTCATTTCTATCGAAATTTGTGGATTTCTTGCCCCGATGGTTGAATTTCTCAAGTATCTTTTTTTGTTCAAATCACTCATTTCTCTCAAATTTTAGCAATTTCTGGCCCCGATGATTGTGTTTTTCTTGATGATTTTGTCCTGGTAATCAACCTGCTAATATGCGCCTTTTGCGCAGAATTTATTCGTGTTCTTCGTGCTATTCGGGCGCCGAGATCTGGATCGAGCTGATCTATCAGGATCTATGGCCAGATTTAAATTGAACTTTCAAATTATTCAAATACTACTCCGTATGTTTATGTTTCCAGATCTGAGTTTCATGAACTCGTTTTTCCACCATCCATTCTGTGATTCCTGTCCGTTGATAGTGAATTACAAGCCTCCATTTTTATTAAGTGAATAGCTAGTTATCCATCTGCCTATTGATTTTTAAATTTGATTTGATCATATTGAAAAAAATATTTTAAATCCTTACAAACCTTTGATATTTTTAGAGTTAATTAAAGATTATGTGCCTTTTTTACTGTGCGTGGCTGTGTTTGTTTGAAGTCTTACCATCTCGTTCATTTCTAGATCTCTACACAAAGAAAGAAATGAGAAAATGGACAGATTAGATACCCATTCTTAAAAATGTGGTTTTTATTTATTTTGGATTCATCTAAACATTTTTATATTATGTAATGTCTGTGCGTACATACTTAACATCCTGAACAACCTAAATGTTTGCTTGAATGATGGGTTAATTGACTAAAACACAAGGGCTGGGTTAAGAATTTTATCAGTTGAATGGCTACCATAATTCTTTGCATAACACACAGCCTATTTGCATCCCTAATTTGTTTTCAACTTTTCTATTCATATGCTCCTCAACTTTCTATGCAGTTTTTGACTTTTAAAAATGAGTCGTGCACAGGAGCCACGCAGACCATTTTTCCCATTTGGAAATCCCTTCCGGATGATTTTACCCAAAAGTTCACACCTCTCCCCAACACTTCTTTCCCTTTTGAAATCATTCGAGGAGTCATTGGCATTGAAGCTGAGGAACCTCATCCCTGAAAACAGTGATGACATCATCAGCTTATCCTGGATGCAGAAAGCAATAGTTTCACTTTCAGAAATCCACGTTGACACTAAAGAACTGATAACTGCACTTGAATTTCCCGTTTCTGATTGGGACGAGAAGTGGATTGATGTGTACCTGGACAACAGTGTAAGGTTACTGGATATTTGCACTGCTTTCAGCTCTGAGATCACCAGGATCAACCAATCCAATCTTTTTCTTAGCTGTGCCGTACACTATCTCGACGGTGGTGATGAAAAGCAGTTTCCTCAAGCATGTTCATCATTGAAAGAATGGGGCCCACGTGTGAGGTGTCAAAATCCGAGATTAGGACGTTGCTTTGACATTTTGAACAGCCTGACCGAAAGTCTGAACTTGCCTAAGATTAAAAATTCTGTGAAGGGGAAAGTTTTAATGCAAGCTATGTATGGAGTAAGGATGGTGACCATTTTCATTTGTAGGGTATTTGCTGTTTCTTTCTCGGGGTGTGTGGAGAACCTTAAGGAGTTGGAGGTCAGTGAGACTTCTTTCTTGTGGGCAGATGCATATGCTAATCTCCAAAATTTCCTAACCCGGGAAATGAAGGCCCTATATTCGGGTGGTGGCCGGGCAACTGCTTTAAAGGAACTTGAGGACGTTCGCGTTAGTGTTGAGAGGTTATGTCCTGTCATTTTGGATGGAGGTGCACTGCGGCATGAAACTTCTGATTTGGCGAAGTCTGTGGAGAGGCTTTCCACGGGACTTGATGGTTTGGGGAAGGAAGTCGATGGATTCTTCCAGATTGTTCTATCGGGACGTGATGCCTTGCTTTGTAATCTCAGAGTTGGCGGTGAGAGTGGCAGCCCAACTCAAAAGAGCAGCGGCCTGGCAACTGTGAGGTGACCTTTTGTGTCCAAAGTGGTATAGTTGTGTTTCTATGTTGAAAGTGTTGCAGTATGTGTTAGTGATGTAAAAGTGGTCATATGTGGTTTGTGATAATGTTCCAATATTTGAACCTTGAAGTATGCTTTTTTTTTTCCTTCATTTTCTTTCAGAGCAGGTGTTTGATGTATCTGGGCTTGTATATATAGATGTTGTACTTGATTAAATGTATGTATGTGCATCATGCTAAGTGGTGATGTGCATCTTCGCTTGATTGGATTTTGGATTTAATCTGATTTTATTAAGGTTTGGTTAGTTAACATTTTTAAAAGCACATCAAACATTATACTCCATCCGTCCCTATTTTGATTACAATTTTTTTTTCTCTTCTCGATAACTTTTGTTTATTTACACGATTTTATTAAGTACTTCCTCCGTTTGGATTTTAAGTTCCCGGTTTGACTTTTGCTCATTTTTAGTAAAAGTTGACTATGAGTGTAATTTGTCTAAACTACCCTCCTTCACCCTCTCCTTTACCAGCCCTGCCCTCCTCATTTCTCGATGTGAGCATGCCTCTCCTTTACCATTAACGCACCCTCACCATCGCCGTCACCCCAACACCGTCGGCCAGCCCTGCCTTCGCCCGCAGCACCACCATCTCCGCCACTGTGACGGACGCAGATCTAAAAGAAAAAAAGAGGAGAGGGAAAAGAAGAAGAAAAAAAGAGAAAGAAGTGGAGATCTCAGATCTAGACTCACAATCGTCACCGCCGCCACTATCGCCACCCCTACCATCACCGCCATGCTCAGATCGAGAATAAAAATGGAAGAGAAATTAAAGGGGGAGATAAAGAAGAACAAAGATGAATGGGAGAAAAAAGAGAGGAGATGGACGGAGGAACACAGAGACGAGAAGAAAGATAGAAAAAGAAGAAGAAAATGAGGAGAAGAGATAACGAGAATTGGGGAAATGGAGAAGAATGGGAGACATGGAGAAAAGAAAAAGGAAAGGATGGGTGGAAGAGATTTTGAGAAGAAGAAGAAGAAGACAAAGGAAGAAAAGGAGAACGAAGTGGGGGAGTGGAAGACATTTACATCTCCAAGAAAAAAAGAAAGAAATTTAGGGATTGGAAATTGAAAATGAAGGGAGAAAGAGAAAAGGAAGAAGAAAGGAGAGAAGGGTATTTTAGGAAGAATAGGCATTAAAATGTAGAATGGGAACTTAAAATCCGGACGGAGAAAAGCGTAGAATGGGAACTTAAAATCCGGACGGAGGGAGTATTTGATAAAATAATATATTCTTGTCACCTCTTATTTTGTACTCCTTCCGTTTCATTTTAAATTGCATGTTTGTCTTTTTTCTCCGTCCCAAAATAAGTTGTCTGTTACTTGTTATCGTAAACTTTTAAGAGTAAAAAACTTAAACTACCCCTAAAATAAGTTACTCTTCACCACCTTATCTTCTTATTCATCGTCACCCCTCTTAAAAAGTAATGACAATTTTGGAAAATCAATTCTATTTTTTCCTTAAATATGCCTAAAAGTCAAAACGGACGATTTAAAACGGGACGGAGGGAATAGAACTTTTGACGTAGTTTTTTAATATGTAATTTTTATATCTTATTGATATACCACAACAACAATAACAACACAGTTGAATCTCACTATAGTAGGGTCTAGGGAGGGTATGTGTACGCAGACCTTGCCCCTACTCGGAAGTATGGTATATCTTATTGATTTATCAATTTGTAAATAAAATGATTTCAAAAAGTGAAAAATGTTTCCTCATAACCCACAATTTGTAATCAAATTGGGGACGGAGGGAGTATATCTTTATATAAAAAATATTTTTTGGTTTTTAAATTATCATTTTTATGTTATTATTATTAAAAAAATTGTAACTCATTCTCATTTTAACAAAATAAATGTTATTGATTGGATATATTAAGTTCGGATCTAAATTTTTCTCACTTTTTGTTTACCTCGATGGTAAAGTTTAGAGAAGGTAGTTTTAAGATATTCCATCAAGGCTCAAGAGAGATCTTATTGGAGATGTGCTCAAATGTTCATCTAATTTTTAATGTATTGAAAGTGAATATGTTCTAAGAAAAGTTTATTCAAAATTCTAATGTTTGATTATGTACTCCGTACTATCCAAACTTACCCTAGCTCAGTAGCTTCTTATTAAATTCTTTATAAGGTTTGATGATTTATGTAGGTGGCTGTGAAAATGGCATTGTGGGGTGTCCTCCATTCACACCATAAGCTTTGGACTAGGGTCATCTCTCTTGAGTGTAGGAACCTCGACCCCCACAATCCACGCGAACGGGGCAAATGTGGAAACTTTTTGTCCCCACATCGAACTTGCTAAAAAAGATAAATATATAAGAATATGAGTTATTCCTCCCAAAGATAAATATATTAGAATATGAGTTATTCCTCCTATTGCCAATTTGTTTTGGATTGGAATCTCAACATTTCTACACAAAGAGTTGAACAAGACAAGGGAAGTACGTGCAATAGACAGTTATGTTACAAGTACACTCATTTCCTTGCCCTCTGCTTTGCTTTAGAGTCAAAGTGGTGAGATCTGAGCTTCTTCTTTCCGACCAGAGGGGCAGCTTGGTCACCACCACCACCCTCCTTGAAAGGCATCCCCAAAAGAGCCAGCAGCCGCTGTCCTTCTTTGTCGGTTTTGGCAGTGGTAGTAATGCAAACATCCATTCCTCTCTGCTTTCCAAGTGCATCAGAGGGGCTTACGTCTGGGAACACACTCTGGTCACGAAACCCAATGCTGTAATTCCCTTGGCCATCGAAGCTGTTTGGGTTAACACCTTGGAAATCCCTTGTCCTTGGCAGCCCCAAGTTGATGAGTCGGTCTAGAAATGAATACATTACCTGCAATTACAAGTTTGTTTTTAAAAAAATTGATGATGAACTCCAAGTAACTCGTAAGGGTGTGTGTTGGTCAATCCGGTTTTGAAGAATGTCAAACATAAGTCAATTTTCAAAGCTTAAACCTTAAAACAAAAACAAACTGCACGCGGCTAGATTGATTCCTGCCGCTTTGTTGGTTGGTTGGTTTCGGCTTGATAGTTTCTTTGGTTCATCTCTGTGTATGGTATGGATGACAATCGATTCAACAAATCAACAATGTGACCAAGACGAAATGATTTCCCACTCAATGCCAATATCACTCATGAGCTCACGTAAAGAAAAAATGGAGCTTTCTTTAGTTGTGTCCGGGTACATTATTTTGGGGGCTTGGGAAAAGAAGGCAAGACACATGTGATCAGCCATAACTCAGCTTGTCTAGCTAACTCAGTCACTCAATATCCAAGCACTGAGCCAGGGCCAAAGCAGGCAGTAAAAACGGACTCAAAACAAAAGGTCTTACTCTTTCGATACAAAAACACATTCTGGACATCAGTTACAGTGCGGTGAGTTCTGAAATCAAAGAAACAACATCATTTAAGCATAATTTCTTAAAATGCTACTGGAAATAGAATGCTATCAATTCTCAGATCAGTAAATACTCCATACAAGTACATTGAAATAACTATTTTATGGTTATAAATTTGCATCCATTGACAGGGGGAGTGAAAAGAGTCTTTAGCTTTCGACAAATAATGGACTAATCGAAATGATACATTAAGCTTCTTTGTTTCTTACCTTTTATGAAATTTTGGGTAGTCAATGTAACAATGCATCTAATGGTCTAAGAGAGATAACCTCTGTTTTTTACAGTTGACCACCAGAACACAGCGGTGTTGGATTATACTGAGAGTTTTGTGGTTGTATACTTGTATCCACTTCCAACAAATGAATCTATCACATGAGAAAATGGTCTAAAGGTCTTTGAACTCAGCCCAGACCACGACATTGGGATTATACCGTGTTTTTTTTGTTGTTGTTAGGATGAAACTTTTTCCTAACAATCAAAGCTTATGAGAGTTGGCATACCATACCATTTACAACTTCTTCATGACACTTCATATGGTAGGCAATTAAGCATGCCACCATCGATAAAATCAGTGAAGACCTCTTTGGAAAACAATATCACATTGAAGATAGATAAATGTTGTGAGTCACATATTTCTTTTTTAAGGGAAAAATGGAAGCCTTTTTAGGGAATGAAGGGAAAAAGAGTGTGTGTTACTATAGAGGGAGTAATATTCTAACAGTTTTTTTTGGAAAAAATGAGTATAAAAAACTCTTGATAAGTAATTTTCATTAAGTTAAGCAAGAGAACATAAAAATAGATGATATTTAAAAAAAAACATGGAATTATATCTATGAAATTCTGAGAGATGCCCAGCAGTCAAATGCAGAAGAGATGGTATACCTTTCGTCTAAGAGTGACAGAAATTCCGACAGGCTGACCTTCACGAATTTTGAATGTTGCAACAGCCTTCTTCGCTCTCGTCTTCACAGGCCTTTGCCCTGTGATTAGAGCCAGTTCATTCATCGCAGCTTCCAGACCCTTGGCATTTTGGGCAGCATCTCCAATCCCACAGTTCACTACTATCTTCTTAACCTGTGGAACCTACTCTGATCAAGCATGAACACTATTACCAAACAGGAAAAAACCTAAAATGAATTAGGGTTTCAAAAGACAGAAGCAAACCTCGTGAATGTTCTTGTAATTGAACTCTTCTTTGAGCAGAGGAACGACTCTTTCCACGTATGCTGTCTTGAGCCGATTGGTCTTCTCGGATTCGGCTTTATCCACCAGAACTATCCCTGACGCGGCCTTCGCAGATAAATCGCGATGCAAAATTCCAGCGTTCCGGGACTGTAAGGGGAGATAATTCAGTGGGAGCAGGGCGTGGAACTTGGAGGGGGAGGAGTGGAGAAGCGGTAATGAAGAAGCCATTGGAGGCGGTGGCGATGCGGCGGTGCCGGTGGATGATGAAATGACAAGTTCGGTTTAAGGGAGTTGTTTGGCTCCTGCAATTCTGCGGTGCGCTTCACTGGGGGAAGAAGATAGAAGAACTGGGAAGAAGAATCTGAAATTCTGAATGGACCATGCTACACTTATCCAAAAAATGTTACACCACAGTTTTGCACAAATATTTTGATAGTTTACACCGACACAAGTGTTGGTGCGTTAACAAAAATTTACACGGACACAAATGTTGATGCGTTAACAAAAATTAGTTTTATACCAACACAAAATGTTAGTGCAAACCTGCGGGGTACAAATTTGGGTATAAATGTTGGGGTACACATAGCTTGGCCGATGAATGGATAATTTCTCAAGGCAACCGTTTTTTCTTTTTGTTACGGAATATTTAAACAACTTTAAATACAACTACAATCAGACGAGATCATATCAGATAAACGGAACACAACTTAATAACAAGGGTGCCCAGTGGATTACAAAAAGTACATTACAATTCCTTCTATTCTTAAAAGTTACTCGTATTTGTAAAATCTCTTAATTTTTAAATAGTGCACTCACGCCCCTGAAAATCTTTTTAGCGTTAAAATGACATTTATGCTCCTTGATGGTGTAAATTAGTTGACCAGATAACAAAATTCTAGACCGGGTCTAGGATGATAAACCAAGTCGATAAACTAACGAACACAATGAACTCAAATGACCAGAATAGTTGTGAGCGAGAACACTTATAGTCTAATCGTTATTAATATGATGAAAGAGTTACGAGCTAAAGCTCTACAAGACCCTGGAGGGATGGAATTTGGATTCCCTTCTTTGTCCCGTAGTATTTTGTTATCTATCTCTGGGAATATATCTACGTGTTTATCCCTTTAAAGTGTCTGGTGCTAGGGGGTGAGTTTTTAGTTTAATTCGTTGGTGCGGGGAACCTAATCTGCCTAGGACACCACTGTCTAATCAGACTTGGCCCGTCACCAATTGGCGCATCAGTAGTTCTCCCAAGTTCTTGACTTACACCTCAGCGATTCTTGATGGTGAGTATTGAGTTCATCGAGGATCGTCTCGACCATGTGTCCTTTATACACCGGCCATATATATTTTAATCGGGTAGGTTGCGGTCTGGATAACTTGACCGGGTTATCGTACTATGTAACCTCTAATACCATCGTACTAGATTGGTTATTACCTGGGCATTTTCTCATCAGCTAGGACCCAAGTCATGGTCAGAGTGAATACACCCATCAGAACTTATTTCATACTATCATGAAGTTTCGTTCTATTGTTTTTATTTTTTTCCCGTTTAGGGAAATAAATAAAATAACGTATACGCTCTTCGTTTCAAATAAAAAATCATTTATTTTTGTATAACAAAATAGTTTTTTAAGAACGTTAGAAAAAAATAAAAAAAAATAGAAAATTGAAATAAAATACTTCTTATGAAGTGAGAAAAAAAGAATAGAAAAAAGGTTTTGAAAGATATAGAAAAATACTACCTTTATCTTTTACTCCGCATTTTATATCTTATTTCCATTCTTCGTTTTCTTAAAGTCCTAAAAAAATTATGAAAGACGGGACATTAATGTCATTTTAACTCTGAAAATTAGTTGAAAGAACGTGTGTGCTCCGTTTAGAAACCATAAAGATTTTACAACTAGCTTTTGAAAATAGCGGGGTCTTTTATGCTCCTTAAATAACCTGATCACGATAGAGTAGAGTCTATTGCATAACATTATTCTTTTGTTATTATTGTTGTCGAGAGTCAAACTCAGATTTATCATTTGTAACCCTATATTCTTGAAAAGCTGAACTACGTTTCAAAACACCATTTTTTAATTCAAATTGGAGTTTAGAGTCCTCAAAATTTCTTATATTAAGACCCTCATATTTGATCACGTTTTTAAATAGGGACGAATATGTAAGTAAAAATAAAGTAACGTGGAATCTTGTCTTGTTACATTTGTTTTAGTAAAAACTTTACTCCTTTCGTTTCGAAAATATCTTTATGCTCCATATTTGTTTTTTATTGATTAAACTTCATAAACTTTGACCATATAAAATACATCCTCGTATTTAGTTAATTTGTTGTATACATTTAAAATAAAGTCTTGATACATTACAATTTTATAGTATTTATTTAAAAATAAATTGTTAGTGATCAAAGTAACACATTGATGGTCCTGAAAAGTTAAATGTAAATATATGTTGGGGATATATAAAGTATTTTATAAATTTAGCTAAATTTTAAATGAAGATATCTATTGTCATTTTATTTATGTATTGACAAATGTAAAAAATGGATAATTTGATTATTTTAGAATGAAGAAAGTATGAATATTATCATCACACCTAGTCTATAAATGTAAACAATGATTTAGCACGTCTGCATGAGATGAATAAGATTTTTCATGATAAAGAAACCATCGAATATGATTTAAAAATTGTTGTCAAATAGTTCTAGTCACAAGAGTTATGTAAAACGAGAGAGTTAATGCACAAGCACAAATAGGCAATATTATTACTGAAATCATGATGTATTATTTTTGAATGTGTGTTATTATACAATGAAGGAGAATGAGGAATAACCCTCACGTGCAATGGATCATTCATCGAATGTGACCCGTGATCAATGAGACAGTGTTTCTTATCCAATGCTTGATATTCCCCTAATGGTCATGCAAAACATCTTCTGTTTGTTAGGCATGTAGCCATTGATGAGTAGATCACACCATTTTGGTATAATTTCGTGTTCTTTGTGCTTCGTGCATGAACTTGAGTTGATATGGAAGATGCTTGAAGGTGCATGTGGCTTTATTTTATAAGACAAATGTATGTTCACCTCATGAATGCCCATGTGTGTTGGTCATGTCACTCACTTAGTCGTTAAGGAGATCATAGAAATGCACGACCGTGAAGCTTACAGGTCATTTCTCTTAAGATGGCAACTAGGGACATACGTTTTACATCTATGTGTATTCGTCAAGTTTCATTTTTTTGAGCCAGACTAAACAAGTTTTAATAATTAATTACTTTGAATCTGTATTGCATATTAGTACAATATAATCAAGTTTTAAACAATTTCGATAAGATAAATATGATAGATGTTTTGTATGCTACTACACATTACAATTTTTTAAAATGAAGTCTCATCCAAAATTTGTCTAGTTGGACTTGAATTATCTAGACGAGTAGCCCTCGCTTTATCACTAGACTTTCAACCCCCACTCTATGTCTTATGTTATTTTGGTAGACATGGTCTAACGTGCTTAAGCTCAAACATAGAGGCCTAATCTTCATCAACGTTCATATATGATTACAACAAAAATGATATCTTATAATTTGTGTTCATTTCTTAGAAAAATAAATAATTTGACATGCTTTAAAGAGTATCATCAAATATTGAACTGGAATAAAAAGAAAGTAATTAAATTATGAAGAGTGAAATCTATTTATATTGAGGAAAAGGTATTTATAGAGGATGAAGACTTGATATGCAGACCCCCGAGTAGTTATAGAAGATACAAACAATTGTCAAATAAAGTTCCAAAATATTGATAGTTTGCTTTAAAGAATATTTATGGAGTTATTTTTATAGAGCATATGGGTTCAAAATAGTTTTTTTCATTTTTCTTGTAAGAAAATATAATTATTGAAAATACTAATTATACCATGCTCACAAAATGTTAATTTTACCATGTTCGTTAAAGGGTTAACTTCATGTACAGACTTGTGAGTCTCGGCCTAAATAGTTAGATAAGAAAAAACTGTAATCTTACTTAGTTAAAAGTGAATGAGAAATGTGTGTAGTCTATGTAAAACCCTTAAACAAAATATAAACATCTTACTTACAATGTCTTTTCACCAAGATTACTTGATGATAATATTTTATTGCATGAAAATGCTAGGTGTACACCACATTGGTGTACACCTAGTATTTTATAGATACACACAGATAGCAATGATCTATTTTTGTATTGATAAATATTATTTGTATATGTTTGTAACATATTGGTGTAGAAGTGATGAACATTAATGTAGTGTACACATAACATATCCCTTATACTTTGAGTGGTACTTGAGATCCCAAACATTTGACACCAAATACATACTTAACCTAGCACAAACACACATAGATACCCAATGTTTCTGCACATACAGAAACTAAGTATGAGTGTATCTATGAAAGCTGTGCATTTGATGTCAAATGTTTGAGGTCCCTCAAGTATTTTTGTTTTACTTCTTTTATCTTAAAATGATCTTTTTCAGTCAATTTTCACATAATCAAATTTTATTTATTTTTCTTTAATTATTTTTGTTAGTTATTTGATAAAATAATATAGTCATGTCATCTCTTATTTTACAGAACTTTTGATATATTCTTAATATTTATAATTTTTATATTTATTTTTTAATTTTATACCTATAATCAAATAAATTGAAATGAAAATAATTTTAGTTAAACATCTTGAATCGAATTGAAAGGATTATTTTAGGAGAGACTTGTGGATAAAATTTTGAAAAACACTAGAGTATCAATCCGACGACGCGCATTTGAAGCGAGTAGGAGAACGCAGTCCGCTCGTAGCGACAAAATTACAAAACCGCGAGCTCCACAATCCACGCAATGGCGCGCGCGTGAATTGGAAACGAGGATTCTGAGTTCTTCCGTCTGGGAAGCGTAGCTTACGTCATTTTCTCGTGGGTTTCTTCCTCAACCATCGCCCTCCAGACATCGGACCCATCTCCTCCGCCCCGCACCTGAATCTCTCTCCCTCCCCGTATCTACATATATATATACGCGCAGTTATACGTATGTCTATCTTTCTCTCAGGTATTGCGATTTAGTCGGAGAAGTGGGGGCAAGTTCGCAACTATCGAAGCCCCACCTCTATCTTTGTTCCCTATCTCGATCCAGGTAGAACCGTAAACCCTAGCCCTGAAATCGTTAAAAGGATCAGAGCACGAGAGAAATATGAAAGAAAGTTTGTGTATTTCGAAATAAAAGGTTGGGATTGCGGCTCTGGTTTCGAGAAATCTTTGTTGTAAATTCTATAGATCATCGCGTGGATGTGTGAGTTTGAGTTAGAATTTGTATGAATGTCTTCTTGAATGATACTTTGATGGAGTGGAGCTAGGATTGATTGTTGGTATGATTTTTACCATTTCTTATATGATTCGTATTCCGCTGTTCGTGATAATGGGGGCGGCGGCATTAACTAATTATGATGATTGGTGACT